GTTGGTTATCATTCAAATGGATATATCTTAATATTTTAAGAAATCTCTTTAGAGGGAAAATATTAGTAATCCTTTCATTATGGAAATTTGGATCTGCAGACCAGTATTTTTTGATAGAAGGTAAACTATTAAATCCCATTAGAATTAAAATTCCTAGGAAAGCTTTCAATTCTTCTAAGGACAAATCTAAATTTTTGTTGTCTTGGACAGCATATAAATTTGACTGTTCTACAATGTATTGTAGTAAGGTGTCATTGAAAAAACATTAAAAAAACTTACTGGGTCTTCAGAAGACGGTATCACTTTCGAACCCTTGAATTCTGCATAATTACAATTTTTAAATTCAGTGGGTATTCTTCGTTCTTTAGACCACCCCTTAAAATGATTGGGAACATCAGAAAGCATTCATATTTTTGTTTTGAGAGGGTTTTTCGGGCTGGTAATCTCTGTCTGCTACAGAATCATCTGAATCCTCGTGTTCTAAACAGTCGTAAATTGTAGAATTTTTACGTTTTCTACGTAGGGGCGTGTAGTTAGTTACTATGTCCATTTTGGCTGTACCACTTCCAGACGGAGTAGACGGCAGTGTAGACGAACTTCTGCTAGATCTTTCTGATGGTGTGTCAGGTTCTACTACATCCTCAGCATCGCAGTCCCCTTCAATCTCGGAATGTTCAGCTTGATCATCTGTTATTTCATGTAATATTTTGGCTAACTGTTCAGTTGTAAGGCCCTTCTTCCAATACTGTATATCAGAATAGTTTTCGGACATTTGAAAAAAACATGCATGTTGAGGTATTGTGGAAAATATTTGCTGAGCGCAAATAGATTAATTCATAATGTATGACGAAAATGTACAAAAATGACCAACACAACATATATGCAACCAATTTAGCATATTTGTGATGGTTATAAATATTTGTATTTTAGAGCAAAGTTTGAGGTTACATTTTTATAAAATATCATATTGAAAATAATTTTCAATTTTCTTTACTTTTGATATATATTTTTAATTCTGAAACTACTGTATAGTATCCTTATATTGGTAATAAAAAACACTTATCTTTTATAGCGTTCCTCAATGGTCAAATTTTGAAGAAAAAATAACACAACAAATTCAGCCTCGTGCTAATTGTAAAAAGAAGCACCCTAGAATCCACTGGTACAAATGTTGTACCGCTACAATGTTTACAAATGGAGTAAACGTTCCGATATCAGAGTCATCTATGCATTACTTATTAAAATACATGTATAGATGTAAATGAGTAGAAATCTGCTTTGTACTACTCATTTACTCTGGCGAAATGTGTGGTACAAGGGTAATACCAGAAATAATTAAAGGGTTAAAGGTTATTTAATTCTCTATTTAGACAAGGTTTGTAAATCAAAATCAATGATCAAGTGAAATTGGACATTTTGTAAGATTTTGTACATAATTCACACAAGAAAGAAAGTGGTGAGATTAGCGGAACCACAAATAATGAGAAAAAAAAACTCAGAGAAGCCGATTTCACAGAAATCGTCCTGTAGAGCAACTAACAGTTGCTCGAGGTTAATAAAATTTGAATAATAATGGGAGTAATCAAGTTTTCTTCACATATCAAAGGGGTTTCTGCGTAAAGATTAATATACATAAATAGAGTGAAATTCCATTTTTTCTGTTCTTTTCGGATATACTCAAATAGGTATCCTTGTGAAAAATGTTAATTATTTTTCAAACAATCATCGAAAAAAAAGGAAGAAAATATTAAGTTCAAAACGGCTAGTATATTAAAACAAAACCCTTAATTCTCTTCTGCATTTTGAACAAATAAATAAATAAAATTTAATAGTTAAATCCTTTAAATAAAATTTTAGCTTAATTGGCGAATGAGCTTAGACGGGCTCGCAATCATGTAACACAAAAAGTCACTAAATATACAAATATATCATCATCATGAATAGGTATTCCATCCATCGACGGATGTAATCCTCTCTTAGGTGTGTCCATTTATTTCTGTTTGTGGGTTTTTGCATCCATTCGTAACCAGCCATTCGCTTGATGTCATCAATCAGGTTTGAGGTCTGCCTCTACTTCTCTTGTTTGCTCTCGGTCGCCATTCAGTAATTTGATTTGACCAATGGTTGTTGTCCATTCTTCCTATGTGTCCTGCTCAGTTCCATTTTAACATGGCGATCTTTTGGATTACATCTATAACTTTTGTTCGTCTTCTTATTTTTTCATTGGACTTTTGATCACTGAGCTTAATGTTGAGCATTCTCCGTTCCATAGCTCCCTGAGTCACTTGGAGTTTGTGTTCTATGTTGTTGTTAAAAGGTCATGTTTTAGTTCCATATATCAGTACTGGCAGCACGTACTGATCAAAAGTTTTTGCCTTTAAAGTATTCAGTAAGTTTGATTTAAATACTGTTTGTACGATATACCAGTATATTCAAAATTGTATAGATACACAGAAATTTATAGGAAGCAAGTAAAAAATCAAATCCAGAGTATGCTGGATCAAAAAATTATTGATTATTGATTCTCTCTACTGCTGTCACCCAATATGTAGCTTCTTCAATTTTATAATAATTTTTAAACTGTGTGTCCTTTATCTCGTGTTGTGTAAATGTATTAATTCATGTTTATGACATTCACCAAATTTTTGAATAGCCTAATTTTGACGAAATGCCCCTGAAGATGCTCTAGGAGCGAAAGTACTTGGGCAAGATTTAATGAAAACTGTGCACGATTTTTGCCTTTTATTTGATTTAAAAAATTATTATACCTTCGAATTTTCCTTGGTCTTCTCCTATCTGGGTAGTTCTACAGAAAAAGGACGCCTCCCAGAAACCTTAGTTTAGAGTTGTAATAGATTATCGATGTCTTAATGCTGTGTGATAGATACCCTTTACTTATTGGATAAACTTGGACAGTTTCAATACTTCACGACACTGATCTCGCTTCTGGGTTTTATCAAACGAGATGGCATAAATCGGCATCCAAAATCTGCATTTAATACAGAAAATATACACTATAAATTTTTGCGAATGCCTTTTAGACTCTGTAGCGCACCAGCAACATTACAAATGGTTATGGATAATATTCTGAGAAGTATACAAAATGAAAAAGATTTGGTTTATCTTGATGACATTATTATATTTAGAACAAGTCTTTAGGAACATCTAGTTAATTTACAAGAAGTGTTTCAAATATAAGGTGAATCAAACTTTAAAATCCAAATCGATAAATTTGAGTTCCTTAAGAAAGTATTCGCATATTTAAGTCATATCGTAACTCCAGATGGTGTTAAGCCGAATCCAGATAAAATAAAAGCTATAAAAAAATTTTCCAATACCCAAAAATACTAGACATATAAAAGGATTTTTAGGACTTTTAGGCTATTATCGAAAATGTATCAAAGACTTTTCTCAACTTACTAAACCTCTAACTATTCGACTGAAGAAAAATGCTGAAATTAATGTAAATGATTTATAATACATGCAATTTTTTGAAACTTGTAAGCAATTTAGTCAGGGAAAGATAGGTTCCGACTTGTCAATTGCTTATGAAAGCAGAACTTTAAACAATTCGGAAGTCAATTACTCAAAAGTTTAGAAAGAGTTACTGACAATAGTATAGTCTGTTAAAGATTTTCGCCCATATTTGTTTGGAAGACGCTTTACTATTATTACTGACCATAAACCACTACAGTGGTTATTTTCTTTAAAAGATCCCAATTTAAAGCTGGTCTGAAACTAGAAGAGTATGATTATGAAATAATTTATAAAATAGGATCTTTAAATAGAAATTGCAATTTAATATCCAGAATCAAACTAAACGTCAACGAAACAAAAAATTTGGAAGATTCAAAAAATATTTTTGAATAATATATATATATATATATATATATATATATATATATATATATATATATATATATATATATATATATAAGGAAACAATAAACCAGCTTACTAAAATCTTTCCAATGAAGCAAATACAGAATCACTAATTGTTGAAATAGATGAAGATAATAGACAATATTAAAACCTTGATAACGTTGAGACGATACATACCAATATAGAAAATATAGAAAAAAAGTTGTAGAAAATAAAAAAATCTTCAACTTTTATATTTGTACTTTTTTTACATAACCTTAAAATTTAAGTGAATTTTTTTATTTAACCCCAATTCCACCAAAAAGGATACAATAATCAATTACACAAATAAAACAACTATGTTAGAATTCGAATTCCTTTTGAGAATTCTGTTTCAAATTGTCCGTTATTTCATTTTAATGTAAGTTTTTAAATCTGTGATGTAAGTTTCACCTTGGTATAATATTATTCCACTAAAAATCGCAACTTACACTTAAAAAATAAATTAATAACCGCGAGCATTGCAACAACCAACAGTTAAAAACGTTAATCATAAAAAGGCTGCTTCGCCCCTCCCCCCTCTGCTTTAGTCACTTTGTAATGTAAACATAGCAAGAAAATAAAGAATAGAAAAAATAAGGGCTATTAGCAATGGGAGAATAATAATCATTCAATTAATTATTATATCGTCGCTTGGCAAGAATAGTGACATAACTAAAAAAACATCGTTTTGCATAATTGCAACAGGATAGCATAATTGCTATCAGATATATCCAACGTTGACCGGAAGAACAATTTGCAAACCCTGATTTTGGTATGGCCAACAGTCAACGAAAATGCAAAATTATTACCGCGATTACTCTTGTGGATTTTGTAAGAATATCGGGGTAAAATTTTTGATATGTGCCTCATTATAAATTCAGTAATTATTAAAAATTAATTGACGGTCTTCCTCCGAAACATTTTTTATGCAGTTAAATTTGCAAGTTTCTTTGCACGGTTTCTTTAACTTTCTGTCTGGCATTTCCTGTTTAGTCTTCGAATTAGGCTTATACGATTTTCCTAAATTTCTTAATCGCTTTGCTTCTGCACGTTTCCACTTAATTGGATTTGATTTTCTTTGCGACCTTTCGTAATAGGTATTCTTGAACTAGAACTATTAGATGAAGTTGATGAACCCGATGAAGAAGATGACCCCGATGAAGAAGATGAAGATGATGACCCCGATGAAGAACTTCGAGATCTGATTTGTTGCGGGATATTGTGTAGTAAGTTCACGAATTTGGGTTTATTTTTTTTCTTGATCACTAGAAACCACATAATTTGGATCTTTGATACTATCGTCGGAGCACTGCAACACCTCATTATCTGAAAGAATGTCTTTATTATTATTGTTCTTAATGGTATTGGGTGATTGCAAGACAGTTCTTTTAGGCCTTGACCTACTTGGACTCGTGACTGGAGTAAGTATAGTATTAGTATCATCATTTTCCCTACTATTTTCTAACTGACTTAGTTCTTCTAACATTTTTACCATCAGTTTACCTCTATATGCCATATTTAAGTCTGAAAAGTAAAATAAAAGGAAAATAAATGATAAAATATCAATCATAAGATAAAAATAAAATATAGCTGATCACTAATTTGCAAATCAAAAAGTTTCTGATTTTAATCTAATATTTACAACAATAATAAAATATCTGGCAGTAATTTACAAAATTCCTATATTTCATTGTAAATTTATTATGAATATTGACGTAGTGCGAAATATCTCATTATTTTACATAAAAACTTAAAATGTATTTAAGAATTTTATCATGAATACAGACATAAAACAAAGTGATCCACTATTTTAGTTAAGCCAATACTAGGAATTAAGTTATTTTACCTTTAATACAGTGACACTTCCAAATACACCACTATTGAGGATAACAATCACCTATATATTCTCCATTTAGCACAAAATATTTTGCTATACTGCAGTATTAACGAAAAAATCTAACAACTTGTTCAACTGTCCTGGCTCAACTAAATGTGCGTCGCTCTACGTGATAAACTTCGAGGCAAATTCAAGTGATGGTATAACGACATATGCGCGCTACGTGGCTAAAAGTAGAACTACGCCTTGCTGCTTTATTCACGATAAAATATATTGGATTTTGGAACATTTTACCTATATAACTCGATTTTAGTAATTTTTTAGTTATGCCGTTATTCATGCCAAGCAACGATATATTCCATATTAAATACAGTAACGTATACATTTTTAATTATACAAATAATAACAGTTGATCTAGTTTGACACAAGCCCGAATGTTTAAGAATTACGAAATCTGAAGACCTTCGTGAAAATTAATACAACGAAGCGACACACAATCGTATGTTACATTCCAACACGTGGAACAGTACAGCAAAATCAGCAAAATAAACTAGGAATGTTCGCGGGACATAAAAACTAAAAAAATTGGTCAACCAGGCAGTCAGTGATAGCTGGGCACCGTGACTGCCCGCTCAGGCAGTGATCGCCGGCTCCGGGTCGGACGCGATAGCGTCCAGTACGTGATCAGTAATAGTCAGTCAGTCGGTATCTTCGGGCAGGGTTGTTAATACGAGAGTCGGCACCAGGTGCGGATTACGCGCGATTGTTATATTTCGACGGGGTATAGTTCGTATAAGTGTCGGGTACTGAAAGAAATCCGATTTCCAGAGGAACTGAAGGGCGTATTATTAGCTAGAGCCTAAATACGCGAAAGGTAACAAAATTCTATACACTAACCCGAGTAAATTATAGTATTACAGATTGTCATCCCTTTACTTTCTTGCTAAGATCTCTTCTCGTCTCCCTTTGCGCCTAACGAGTTATTATTAATTATATCTGACAGCTTGTTAACTTAATTGTAAACCACATAGTATATTCAATACATTTGTAGACTCTAAAATTGATTTTTATGTTCCTTCCGACCGATTCAGACAGAGACCAGAAGAGTACCAAATTTCGGCTTATACATTTATCTGGCTTCTAAAGTAGGCCCATAGACTCAAACTCCTTACAGGACCTGAGACCTAGAAGTCCTTAACCGCTCTCCCGCTCCTCAACCTTCTCGCAAATATAGTATTACATTTGGTGACAGCGGTCCCGGTTTGGGGAATTTTTCGGAAAATAGGGGCGATTACGTCACTTCTTCAGTATCTTTGTAAACTTTTGCAAGTTCTATAGTTATAAGACTCCTTCAGCGTTAAAATTTTATTTCGCCAGTGACATTCCAATTTTTTTTCTTCTCTTTCCTAATACAACAACAGAGTAAAGAAACAGTGAGGTATCCAGTAAATATTGTGTGGTGTGCAGGACTCTCTTTCTGGAAGAAAATTCTTTTTCTCGTTCTTCAACATTGATGTGTTATGTCCCAAGACATACAGACCCTTGTGAGATTTTGAAAAATTTAGGGTATAAGCAAATAAATTAGCCTAGATAATTTCCAACAGATTCATTCAGTATAAAAATAACCTTGTGCTACTGCACAACTTGTTAGTGCTTTTACACAAATTTGTTCGTATATAGTAGATTTTTTTCTTGTATCCCTAAAAAATAACCTCACATAAATCCCTTCCTAAAACCCAGAATCCTAAATTAAGGTAGGTGAATCGCTTTTATAATCAATTGAAGGGTTGACAATTTACAGGATTTTTCAAAAAAAAAAGAAAGTAAATACTAACACTTTAATTGAGATTTAAAACAGTTGAGTTTGCTGAGCATATCATTCTAATTTTACTTATTTAACAACAATTTATTCTCTAAAGATTTGTTTTTAACTTCGTAAATTGCCATATCATATGATACTAAATAATATATAAACTATACAGTCTAACAGATTTTATGATATATAAAGTATTGTGATGTCCTCTCGTAGGAGTCACTATCCGGGTAGCTTTTAGACAGTCAGAGACAGAGTTCCAAACAAATATAAAACTTTATTGTCTTCCTTAAATTAAATTGACAAAAATCTTATGTACATATTTACAATTTGGTTTAGTCTTCTCAGTACCTGGCCTATTTATTAAAATTAAGTTTGAACTTGTCATATGAAATTAGTTTTATCGGCAAGCGAATGTGTATTTGAAATTTTACGGGAACGTTGTATCGATTTAATAACAGCAGACGATAGGTACAAAGAAAGGAAAGGAACTCAACACGTCCCTTAAGTGATTCGGGTTAACAGGACACTCCTCGACAGTCTCAACACGACTGCTTCAGAGTATGGGTAGTGAAGAGATCAAAACGCTCTTCGGGTAACGGCGGTATGGGACGGAACAACTTGTGAACTCAACACGTCCACAAGCCGGGGTAGGGAAGAAGAGAACCTTCAGTCAACACCTGTCGATTCTCTCTCTATGAGGAAATGTTGCGGTTTGTATAGCGGAGCTTGGTAATTAGTTTTGCCCTTTCTACTGTCGATATACTCCTACTTTATGGGTTGGTTCGCGCGCACGCTGGTTTAATGGTGATGGCTTGGACTCATCGTTACACCCCCTCTTCCTGGGAAAAAAAAATTTTGTTCCAAAATTTTTTTTTATTTTTTTTCCTTGCCAGGTACTTGGTTACCCTAAAAATATTTACAATACATCGAAATAAAAAAATGTCCGCCCTAAAAAAAAAAAAATATCGTCTTCTTAAAAAAAATCGTCTTCCTCTCTCTTAAAAAAAATCGTCTACCTTCGTGGGGCTTCAATTATTGGTTTTTATCCTCAGCACCCGGTTCGGGAGTCTCAGTCTGTATTTTTTTTCCTTTATGCTGCGGCGGAATTAGTGAAAGCAGCGGGATTGACACTGGAATTGACTGGACTTTCTGAATTTTTGTGATGCCCATGGTTGGTTCATCGAAAAGGTTTTTAAATTTGGAAATAGCCTTTATCAGGGGCTCGCAGCCTTTGCCCGGGGTGTTAGGTTTTGTTGTGTTCCCCAATGGTGATATTAATTCTGGAACGGTGTATGGTGGCGACGTAACTGTGCCGTCCATTTCTATGTCACTGTAATTTATTTTTAACGTGTCTGACATTATATTTGAAGATTACTGGTAAACTGTATTAAAATATACTGTCACTACTTGGTGTTGACTGTAAGTGCTTGGACTGATTAAGGAGTAGGGAAATCGGTAAATGCGGGTTTTAGGTCTTTGATATGAGCTGTTATTGTACGGTTTTTATCGTCGTGTTTTAATTTGAATATTACATTAGAACACACTTTTGTTATAGTATATGGGCCTGAAAATTTCGGTGCTAATTTGGCGTTAAAATTTTTGGCGCCATTTGAGAGTTGGTATTCCCGTTTCATGACTTTGTCGTTTATTGTGGGTTTCCACTCTCTTCGTCGTAAGTTGTAGTAATGGCTTTGAGTTTTAAAAGCTTTTGCCAGGTTTGTACGTACTAGTTCGAATGTTTCTCGCAGTTTATGCCATTTTATGTTTTGATCGGTATGTTGTGTGTCGTTTTTATTTTTAATTTTATTTTGTTAAATACTTCCTCTTGGTCTCTGTCCCAAGTCTAATGTTGTTTTTTCCTTAGTAGCTTTGTTAAAGGGGCGGGATATTCGACTATAGCTTTTGTCTTGTTTTCGTCCACTTTTATTCCCGTTTTGTTTACTACATGGCCTAAATAATTTATCTCTTCTTTGCAGAATTTACATTTGTCTATATTAATTCGTAGTTTGGCCTGCTGTAGTCTGTGAAGTATTTCTTTTAAGTTTTCCATATGTTCCTCGAACGTTTTCCCCAGTACTATTATGTCGTCTAAATAGGCGAATGCATGTGGTTCCATTTCTGGGCCGATTATTGTATCTAGTAATCGTTGAAAAGTAGCGGAGGCGGCGTGTAATCCGAATGGAAGTACTTTGAACTGGAATAATCCTTTTCCTGGTGCTATGAAAGCGGTCAAGGGTTTGCTTGCTTCGGAAAGTGGTACTTGCCAATATCCATTTTTTAGATCTAACGTGGTAAAATATTTTGCAGATTTTAACTTTTCTAGGATATTATTGATGTACGGTAATGGGTAGGCATCTTTTTCTGAGATGTCGTTGATTTTCCTAAAATCGATGCAAAATCTGTATCCGTTGTTATGCTTCTTTTTTACTAGGACGATGGGGGAACTGTACGGGCTATTAGATTTTTCTATCACGTTCTCTTCTAGCATCTTATCTATCTCATCGTTTATGATCTTCTGCATTGCCGGGGTTCGGGGCCTGTATCTTTGTTTGATCGGTGTATTATGTTTGAGT